GGCCGCGTGTGTTTATCGTGCGAGGTTACTGCTGAGCTGCGGTGGTTCGTGCGAGGTTACTGCTGAGCTGCGGTGTGTTCGTGCGAGGTTACTGCTGAGCTGCGGTGTGTGTCTCCGTGCTGTGGTTGCTGCTTGAGCTGCGGTGTGGTTCGTGCGAGGTTGCTTGCTGAGCCTGCGGTGTGTTCGTCGCAGACCTTGGTGCTGCTTGAAGCTGCGGCGTGTGTTCCTAGCTGCGATGGGTTACTGCTGAGCCTGCCGGTGCGTGTTGCGCTGCGTGTTCGGTGCGAGGTTACTGCCTGGAGCTGCGGTCGTGTTCGTTGCGAAGGTTACTTGCCCTGAGCTAGCCGGTGACCGGTCGCGTGTGTTCTCGTGCGTGCCGGTTCTGCTTGGAGCTGCCGGTCGTGTTTGTGCCGTGGCTTACTGCTTGAGCTCGGTGTGTTCGTGCGGAGGTTACTGCCTGAGCTGCGGGTTGGTGTTCCTGTGCGAGGTACTGCTGAGCTGCGCGTGTGTCTCGTGCGAGGCGTACGTGGCTAGAGCTGGCGGTGTGTTCCCGTGCGTGTTACTGCTGAGCCTGCCGGCGCCTGTGCTTCGTGCGAGGTTGGCTGACTGAGCCTGCGGTGTGTTTCGTGCCGAGGTTGCTGCCTGAGCTGCGGTGTGCTTCGTGCGAGGTTTACTGCTGAGCGGGTGTGTTCGTGCGTGGTTACTGCTGAGCTGCGGGTGTGTTTCGTGCGAGGTTGCTGCTGAGCTGCGGTGTGTTCGTGCGAGGTTACTGTGAGCTGCGGTCAGCCGCGGAGTGTGTTCGTGCGAGGTTACTTGCTGAGCTGCTGCGTGCTGTTCTGTGCCGAGGTTTATGCTGAAGCTCGCGGTAGTGTTCGTGCCGTGGTTACTTGCTGAGCCTGCGGGGCCGGGGCCGCGTCCGATACTTGTTTCCGTGCGAGGTTAACTGCTGAAGCTGCGGTCTGTGTTCGTGCGAGTGTTGCTGCTGTAGCTCGGCGCTGGAGGTATTCGTGTTCGTGCCGAGTTGTTGCTGCTTGACGCTGCGGTGTGTTCGTGCGAGGGTTACTGCTGAGCTGCGGTGCTGTTGTGCGAGTGTTTGCCTGCTGCAGCTGCGGGGCCGGGGTGTGTGTTCGAGCTGCTGAGGATTGCCTGCTGCAGCACTGCGGTGTGTTTCGTGTTGAGGTTACTTGCTTGCAGCTTGCGGTGTGTTGTGTTCGGTGGAGCGGCTTACTGCTGAGCTGCGGAGTGTCGGCTCCTGTGCGGTGCTGCAGGTTTACTGCCCTGAGCTCAAAGTGCGTGTGTGTTCGTGCCCGAGGCTTACCTTGCCTGAGCCGCTTCGGCTGTGTTCACTGTGCTCGTGGGTTGCTGAGCTGAGCATTTGCGGCGTTGCCCCTGCTCCGTATACGCGGCCGCGTACAACATGTGTTCGTGCGTGGTTACTGCTGAGCTGCGGTCGTGTTTCGTCGCAGGACGTGTTGCTGCTGAGCTGCGGTGTGTTTCGTGCATGAGGTTACTGCTTGAGCTGCGGCGCGCCGGCCGCACTTCGTGTGTTCGTGCGAGGTTACTCTGAGCTGCGGTGTCTGTGTTCCGTGCCGAGGTTACTTGCTGAGTGCGGTCTGTGTTCGTGGATGGTTGGCTGCCTGAGCTGCCGGTGTGTTCAGTGCGTGGTTCTGCTTGAGCTGCGCGTGTGTTGTGCGAGGATTGCTGCTGAGCTGCCGTGTGTTCCGTGCGGAGGTTACTGCTGAGCTGCGTGTGTTCGTTGCCCAGAGGTTGCTCGCTGAGCTGCCGGTAACACTTCTCCGGCCCGTCTGTGTTCGTGCGTGAGGGCTGTTACATGCTGAGCTGCGGTGTAGTTCGTGCGAGTTACTGCTCGTGAGCTGCGGTCTACACCACGTCGCTCGACGTCCGCAGCCGCCCGATCTACCTCTAGTCTCTGCAACGAGCCGTCGGTTGTCGTGCCGAGCGGCTTGCTGCTGGCTTGCCGGTTGACGGTGCGTAGCTCGTGACTAGGACAAGACTGTGCGGCGACTCAGGACCCACACCGATGCACCGCACAGCAGAATAGCGACCGCCGAAGGCAGAGCCGGTTACGTCGTGCAGTACCGTGCGACGAACGTCCATCACAGCTCAGATCCGGTTAAAACCTAACTCCGTCACTGCAATGTTAGGACGCAGTCCAAATGCCACACGCCTACACGCCATACTACGGACCCGTTTATCCTCTACGCGTCGTATTTTCTGCACCTCCGCCACGAGAGAGAGAGAGAGAGAGAGAGAGAGAGACAGACAGACACAGAGAGAGAGAGAGAGAGAGAGAGAGAGAGAGAGAGAGAGAGATGAGGAGAGGGAGAAAGCATTCGAGGGAGTGAGCGGAAGATAGAGATGAGGAGGGGAGAGAGAGAGGGAGAGGGGGAAGAGGGGCAGAGAGAGAGAGCGAGAGAGAGAAAGGGGTGGGAGAGAGAGAGATGGAGGGGGAGAAGGAATGGGGACAGAGAGAAACAATACATATAACCACTCATCTTACATCAACATTCATGAACAAACACACAAATCATCTTGATTCAAGCTCACTTTATTTAGAATTTCAAACAGGTATAAATACTGCAAGTAACAGAAGACAAGGGTAGTCGTACAGTAACGTGTTCTCGGATAAACTCCAGTTGTGAACACGCTGTCTTAGGCGATCTTAACTTACTTACTGAACAGAATGAGCAACTGAAAGTCCAATAATGTCAACAGCAGCTACCATTCTTAGGACGCGCTATCATCACTGAGTTTACAGACAGTAACCAAACGCCAAAGAACCGTGGCTGGTGACAATACAATGTATGTTCATAGGCATCCTATACACATACATATTAAACATATATGTATGTATAGGATATCTATGGATAGGTCACTTTGTAGACAATTGAACACACGGTTGCGCTGGTGTATAGTTGAAACTGCCTCCAATGTATCGTGAGAGGAAACGTGGTCCGATAGAAACGCAGTACGATTTTTCCATCGCATAGCATATAGTCACTAACCCCATGTTAGTGCCTATCTGAACTCGATACTTTCTTCCAAACCGAGCTAGCGCAATGCGAACAGTAAGCTACGAAGGAGATGTTGGTAGATGAAATTTACGAAGATGTGTGACATTTTCGAGATAAGCTCGTCGTACAGGTTTTGAAAACTATCGGAGGCAAATTCACACGTAGAGAGCCGTTTTGCCTCCATGAATAACTTCACGTAGAAATCATAACGAACGTAAAATATGTGGAGCACCGAAGGGGCACGCGCAATATAAGACGACAGCAATCGTAAAATTTCAACACGCTCTCGCAATATATTTCGCGTCGTTCTTTCTGTTCCCCAAAATAACAGTTCCAATATGTTCAAGGGTATGAACACACAAGACAATATGCTCTGTGCTTTTTGGGATCAGAAGTATAGCAAACGAGGGTCGTCTTGCTACAAAAATCTGAAGTCTATCATAACAAATGAACTTGTGATACAATGTTATGACAGACTTCTGGTACAATGTATCAAAGTCCACCGTAGGAGAAACGTAGCGCCAGAATGACATGTATTAATCTGCTATCTCACGTCGCCGACACCAAAAATTGACAACAATCAATAGTCAATGATTGATATCTATTTTTGCTGACGCGTTAGTTGCTATTTGAATCGAGTTAGACGAATGTAAAGAAAACTAATGGTCTGCAATGCCTCAGTAAAAACCCATTTTGTTCCCCACTGTGGATATCAACTCAACACACAAACTCTGTGACAAACACGGCAACATACACGCACGCGACATCTAAACACATTAAATTACGCATCCAAGCTCCATTACACTAACGCGTAGGTTTCCTAACCAACAAAATTCTAGCCTTACAGGGGAGGGGGAGCTTCCAACAACGAGGGAAATTCGTGTACAAAAATACAGTATCCTTCAATGATAGGTCGCATAATATTGCAGCGACCATTTCTGCCCAGCGAGCCACCACAGGACAAAATGACACTACATCATTCACTGCTTTTACCACAGGGAGCGCTGCCTTTCCAAAAAACCGATACGTGCAAAATGATACTGCATTATAAAACACGTAAATGATTTATACGGCAGTAAATGAGAAATAATTCGACATTAGATGTGCACTTTAAACTGTGTGTTTGCAACTGTGAATCGAGGTTCATTTGTTGGGAAAGAAACGAGCACACAAGTACCCGCTCACATACAGACACACGAACATGCACACACTCACGCACGCACACGCACATGCACACGCACACGCACACACACACACGCACACACTCATGCCCACATGGGTGCTTTTAAGTAACTTATCATTTACACAAACAATAAGCACATTTCCCGAAGGCTTCGTCAAGTAACGTTCGAAGTAATTATACGAACACGGGATATTTACAACTAATATATACATAGGAAATTATAACTTCTACATCTGGATAATATCATACATATTTTTGTTGAAGGCAGATACGAGTGTATCAGGTCCTGCAATGGCTCAAGCTATAATAAATCTCACTATCTCTAGCCTTCCCTTTTTCTCATAACAGCACACTAGGTTCTTCTAGCAGTTGTCTACCGTTGGAGCCGCATACCCCAAAGAAATGTTGACCTTTCGAAGGCAATACCACGCCGTATGTACTTCAAACGGCAGATATTACGGTCGGTTCATAGATGGCGCCACTAGACTGGTCATGAACAGAAATAATATACCAAATAGTATCTCTATACATTTTTACGGTCACGAACAATTTGACAGCCTAGGGAAACCAAGACCTTGTATCCTTCAACTAACTATATACTCAACTGGAGCAAAATCGGAGAGGTTTTTGCGGGACAAAAAAAGAATACTAGCTGCCGATGAGAAATAAGGAAGGCCAGACGTGATTCTATAAACGGTAAAATATATATTTATATACTTTCAAATGAACACAGCTAATACGAAATCGACACAACAACACAGCACGCACGCCAACACGCCAACAACCTCTATGTAATAAAATGATATCTCCAAAACTCAACTCAACGAGACAACAAAGTAGCGACAGCTCACCACATGTAGCCAAATGTGAAAAGTTCCTAGATGGCTACACCCAGCCCACTCTTACAAGTGATACTTGCTAGTGGCTGCTGCCTAATACACGTACTGATCCTTTACCTACACAGTAGCAGAGAATCCGTTCGTTTCAGTAACGAATGTATAAAACTTTAGGTCTTCATTCTTCGAAATTAATTAGATGACATCTCACAACAACACAGAATTATTATCCATAACATGAGCCTCTCGAAAGACAGGAAAAATAGTCACCCACTGGTCTCAATACAAGTTGGTGATATAATTCTATGATGGAAAACCAACGTTGGCTCTTTGAAGGCTAATGGTTTGAAGTAATCTTACATAAACACACGCACGCACACTCACGCACGCACGCACGCACGCACGCACGCACGCACGTTGGCATTAGAAGGTAATATATATATATATTATATATTATATATATAGATATATATTATATTATTATATTATATTAATATCTTATATATAGTATATATTCATATATAGATATATTATATTTATATATTACAGCACTAAACAGTCACAAAAGCCTGTATAAAAATACCCAGATTCAAACAGAATTTCCAAAAGGACACATAGAGCCGGTAACTAGTAGTTAAGTACTGTGATTGTACCTCCGTTAACAAAACTGGCAAGATGCCAATGAGCTTTCCGATTCACACATATCACTAGTAATGAGGATATAGGGGGGAGCAGTGGACTTCATGATATGATACACGGCAGGCCTATTCGTTTTACCTAACACAGACGTACACTGAACACTACACTCATGGAAGAAGTCACATCATAACGTAGCCACTTCACTGCATTATATATATAACGCGAATTAAAGCAGATGGCATACTCTCAGCATCTGGAGACACGTCGTCCATCATACTGAAACCAGCACACTCACAAGAAAGATCACAATCACTGAAGCCACCCCATCTAGCAACAGGCACACTCAAAAGAAACGATGCACAGGGAAGATACGATTCGATAAATGTAGACATCTGACGTCACAGCAAGCCTGGATGAGTTTAAAATATACTATTTATCAATGGAACACAAGTCAATATCACTGCACACTTGTCTGTCACATGGATCTACGCTTCTACACACAGTAACATCTATACTGTGTGCAGTGCCATCTACTTAGCTGGTCTTTTAGTCTCTTTAGCCTCATGAAGTGAGCATCTCCAGCTCCCGTCTTGATGTTACTGCCATCTATGGGGGAAAACAACAAGTAAAGTTATGTTATATATTGGTTTGCTCCTTTTGATCACACCTTGTATCATTGCATCTTAGAACGCCACACACTCAGCGACAGTCAGATTGGTTGATGTATTTAGAAGAGTGAGAGAGAAAGCTTCGAGAATAACACACTACTTCAATTGAATTCACTATTTTTTTCACATACAAAATTTTAGTTATATATATATATGTATATATATATATATACACTTGTGCATACAAGATAAT